ATGGTCAGCTCCCAGGTGCACCCTGGCATTTGGCACGGTGACACACAGGTCCCCTGTCAGACCACGGCCTCAGCACAACCTGGCTGAGGTTTCTCCCCCCAGCTCCCTGCTCCAGCACCTGCTCATCCCTGGGAACTCAAGCTGGGGGCAGGAAGCGTCCTGCAGCCAGCCTGATGTCCCCCCATGTCCTGTGCCATGACACACACTCCAGAGCTGCACCTCCCTGCCAGGATGCTGCCCCAAGTTCCAGCAGCTCCCGGTGCCCATGTGCCAGCCCCAAGCAGGGACACTGGCTCAGGGGAAAGAGCTTGGGCTGGACTAGAACATTTCCCCTGGATCATCCGAGGGGCTGGTAATTTCCCATCCCCTCCCCATCCAGAGGGACCCTGGTACCTGTTCCCCATGGGATGTCACAGCCTCCTGCCTCAGTTTCCCCATCCTCACAGTGCTCTCCCAGAGAGACAGACAGGAGCATGGTTGGCAGAGGATGCAAAAGAGTCTCTAACCTGATCCTCACTCAGGATCACGGCAGGGCCCTCTCTGCTCTCCCCCTCCCCAGCCCCTCCTTCCACACTGTGCTGCCACCCAGGGGGGAATTTGGCTTCCAAGGTCACTGACAGATGGGTCTGGGGGCAGACGCCCCACCTTGTGCCAAATCAGCTCTGCCAACCACCCCATCCAGGTCCTGGCCACTCCCTGAGGCTCGGCTACCCCCGCAGGTGTCCCCCTCCCTCCCCCCTCTCCCCAAAAAGCAAATATCCAGGGAGATGGGCTCCGCGCTGCAGCTCTGCCGGTGGCACTGGCGCTGAGCAGAGCAGACTGCAGCACGGCTGTTACGTAAGCCCGAGCCGGGCTCCGGGGATGTAGGACACCGGGGTTATCCCCCGGCCCCCCCGGGGGCTGCCACCCCCTCCCCGCCTCGGCCACGGGGCTCACGGAGCCCGGGGGGAAACGCCACCAACTCAGCCAACACTGCAAAGGGTTCAGCGGGGCTTGGGGCAGCCCTGGGGGTTGCTGTGGCCCTGCCGTGGGGCACATGGTGGTGGCAGGGGGGCAGCAGTGGGGGGGACAGGAGGGTTGTGTTACTCTGGGGCAGGAAGTGGGGCAGGCAAAGGGGTGGGATGGGGCTGGGAGGCAGAAGGTGCTGCGCCCACGTCCCTCTCAGTCCGTCTGGGCTCACCAGGGCTCACCCGTGCAGGTGAGCTCAGGGATGGAAGCAGGCGGCCACTCCTGGGCTGTGCCTCCCTCGGGGTGACTCACAGAGCGGGATGAACGTGGCTGGGGCAAAGGATCATGGCTTCAATCCCGTCCTGCTATGTCTGTATTCCCATCCTCACATATCTAGCGGGTCAGCATCCCTGAGGACAGCCTTCCTGGGGTCAGCATCCCTGTGATCAATCTCCTTGGGATCAGCACTCCCAGGAACAGCATCCTTGGCATTAGCATCCCTGGGACAGCATCCCAGAGGAGAACATCCCTGGTGCCTCTAGCACAGGCTGGAGAGCCAGGATCAGGATTTCCCAGAGCCGGAGGGAAGATCCTTCCCCTGCGGGACAGCTCTGGTATCACCCGCCCTTCATCCCACGGAGGTGAGGGATGGCACAGCTGGCATCACCCATCCCCAAAACACCTGTACCCGGTGCTGGGGGCACGGCAAGGGGGCAGGCAGTGCTGGCAGCACTGAGGCTCTCCCAGGACCAGCCCTATCCTGGCTAACAGACCATCGGAAGCCTGGCAGCATCTCCTGCCATGGTGCAGGATGGGGACAGGGATAGGGAGCCCACGGCCCCCCAGACACGTGGCTTCTCTCTTGCTTTCTGCCAGGCACAGTCTGGATGTGGCTATTTCTGTTTGAGGTGTGTGTGGCAGGGGAAAAAGCCCAGGCTAAGGCTCTCAGCAATGGGAGATACCAGAACAGGAAATTAATGTTAATTAATTCATAATGACGCTGAGATAGTGATACCAGATGCTTCAAAAGTCCAACGGGGGAATTTGAAAGAGCTTTGTAAAAAATCCATCGCCCACCGGCAGACCTGCCTTGCTGCAAGCTGGGAATGAGGGAGTGAGCTGGGAACCGGGGTCGAGCTGGGATCCAGGATCAAGCTGGGACTGAAGGACCAGGAAAGAACTAGGGAACAAGCTAGGAACAAGCCAGGAATGATGGAAGAGGGGCACAACCCAGTGAGGTGACAGGCCTACAGTTACCCCCAGTCACCTGTCACCCCACTCCCATCTTTCTCCCTCCCACTGCTGTTCAGAAGCTGGAGTGGAGCCGGAGCAGTGAGGCACCCACTGTGCTCTGCTCTCTGGGGTGCAGGGGCTTTCCCAAGCCCCTAAATGCTCACCTTTTTATCTCCTTTCCTCCATTTTGGGCACACTGTGTGCAGGGCAGGTGGACGGGTGGGGACTGGGGAACACAGGGGCCTGCAGTGGGGATGGAGGGACAGGCTCATGATCCGGGACAGGGGCACAGGTCCTTTGCCAACCAGTGTCCCCGCATTTAGAGGACAATTTTCCCTCCTCATCCATGAGAGCTGGCCCTTGCCCTGCAGTGCTGAACCCAAATTAGGCTGGACTTTAGCCAAGGGGTGCAGAAGAGCTTAGAAAGGGGCTTAAGCCTGGTGCCACCTCCCAGGGGTTGGGGACCCCAGAGCCAGCACCGGGAAGGATGGAACCATGAACTCCTCAGAAACCACGGACAAACCCCTGCACTTGGAGCCGTTCACCACCCTGTCCCCCCCGGACAGTGCGAGTGTTATGCTCCTTCCCACAGTGATACAACAGCCTCTGCATCTGGAGGGGACCCTCAGAGTGGGGAATAAGGGAGGTGGCAGAGGCCACGCAGGGCCCAGCAGTGGCAGAGCAGGATGGCACGGCTGGGGCAGGGCGCTGCCATCGCTGCTTACATAAGGTGCCCGCTCCGTGTGCCACACACCCGAGCGGCGACAGGAGAGGGGGACGGACCCGTCCCTCCAGCAATCCCTCACGGTGACTGCGCTCCCACTCTTTCTAAACAGCACCCCCAAAACTGCCAACCCGGCCTCTTTCCACCTTCACAGAGGTTGGGTGAGGTTCCCGTATCTCTCAGGCGCATTCACACCCTACAACCTGACACAGACGGGGTGAAAACGCCGGATCTGAGCTCGCTGTGCAGTTCCCCCGACAGCTCCTCTGAAGTTTATCCGCAGCGGGAACGGTTTCCACCGCGCTGCCGGTGAAGCTGCCCCGGCCGGCGGGGAGAGGGGGAACCCCACTGGGAACATCAAGGAGCATCACGGAGCACCACAGCACGGGGGGACACTGACATCCCACCCCACCTGGTCCCGAGGGACTCACCGTATCCCCCGGGGTCATTCCAGGGCTTAAAAAAAAAACCCTCCTTGACTTCACAGGCAAAACAATTCATTTGGGTAAAGAGCGGCAGAGGCAACACAGGATTTCAAAGTGTGTTTTGGATCAGAGGCAAGAAATAAAGTGGCCTTTATGGTGCCTTCCCCAGCAAAGCCAGAGCTTTATTAAGCCTATCTGGCACAGATGGGAATGCTCACTGTTATTCCAGGCCTGAAAAGAGCAGGCAAGGGGTTTTTTATTTTATTTTATTTTTTGTTTTTTTTTTTTTAAGTCTTGTTTTCATTATTTTCTGGTGGCTTCATTGCTTTGTGCTCACACAAAGGGAATTTCACCTGCTGTTCCAAACAAAAGGCCGTGGAAAGTTTTGCAGAGAAAGGGATGAGGGGAAGGAGATTTATAGAAGCAAAACGAGTTGTTGCAGGGTTTGTTGTGGATTTTTTTATTGAGGTGAGCTGTAGAACATCCCCAGCTCTTTGGTGCCTGCTGGAGACCCAGCACTGGCGTGTGAATGCCCTGTCCCCACCAGTGTCACCCCTGGGATGGGGAGTGGGGAGGTCTCACAGAAACTGGGGTTGATTTGGGGTGAAGAGGGAAGGCATCAGGGTTGTTTCCCATCTTTTTTGCAGGCAAAGTCATCACCACGCTTTCTAAGAACAGGAAAGAAAAAATCCAGCCCTCGTTTGCCGACGCCACGGCAAAACAGGTGGTTCAAAATCACAAGAGCAGTGGGGGAGAAAAAAACCCCCTATTTGGTGATTTTGTGCTCATATTCACTGCAAAACTGTCCGGGAACGAATGCTGCTAAATACACACCATTTTCCCTCTCACACTCTTCATTCTATAATTAAGAGAGACTTCTAAAAATACGAACGGCCTCGAGCACCCAGCGAAGGCGTGCAGGTGCTGCAAACTGGAGGCACTTTAGTACAGCTCATTTTCTGGACAATTTTACTCGCCTGGCTCGTGCTCAGCGCCGATACTATTACAGTGATGCAATTATGCTGCTGCTGCCGCTGCCGTGCTCGGTTCGCTTTGCTTTTTCCCTGCGCTTTGCAGTTTGCCTTCGAAGCACCCCCCAGCCCCACAGCTCCCGGGCTCACCCCGAGCGTGTCCCCGCGCCGGCGGGGTCCAGGGAGTTGGGGATAAGAGGGTCAGGCGAGCATGTGTCACACACACATGTGGATACACACGTGTGGGCATAGAGGGGCATAACCCTGAGTGGGCATTGCCAAAAACAACCAGTGTGCAAAAGTTTTGGGTGAGGAAGCGAGCTGGCCCGGGGGAAGCAGGAGGGGAGCAGGAGTACAGCGAGGAACCAGCGCTCCCCAAAAGGCAGCAGCAAACCCTCACTGCTGGCTGGCCAGGGAGGGGGCCCATGGCACTGGCACGGTGACGGCGGCCAGCCTGGCAAAACATCCCCCCCCCAGCCTGGCATTTCGGGTACAGGGGTGAGGGGGAACTTCCCCCCCGAAGCTGCCGCTGCGAAACTTCCCCGTCTTATTTCTCCATTAAGGCTGCAATAGGTGGAAGTGATTGACTCACTATGAGACTGCTGTTTTTGCCTCTGACTTGGGATTAAGACGGAGCTGGAGGAGCGGAGGAGCCGTCGCCCCGGCTCTCTGGCGGCAGACACCGGAGCCGGCACTTACCTCTCACTGCATCCAGGCCCCCCGGCCGTGGGGCTGCGGGTCCTGGAGAGTTAGCTGGCAGGGGACCCCACATCCACTCGGGTTTCTCCCAGGACCGACGTTCGGCTGCTGCTTCTTAGGCACAGACCCAACCCCTCCATTCCAACCACAGGGAAAAAAAAATATATCTTCTTCCAAAAGAAAAAAAAAATAAAAAAAAAAAAGGAGGGAGATTAAAAAAAAAAAACACCACGCTTTTTTTCTTGGTTTGGTTTCTCCCTGGAGAAAATAAGAAAAATAGATAAATCCCAGCGACCAAGAGATCCAGACTCAGGTGAATTTAGCTTCAAACTCCCTCTGTGCTTTCAGAGCCTTCACCCTCAAATGGGCTCTGGAAGATACTGGGGGACCCATCGTTGCTGAAGTGTCATCAAATATCCTTCGGGCTCAACTCCGCTCCTGCCCGGGGAGGGTGGACTTCTTCCCTGCTTGCTGCGTGCTGTGGAGTTGGCAGGGACCTGCCTGTTCCAGCCTCAGCGTGGAGGGTGGGTGGGTTGGTTGGTTGATGTGGGTTGGTTTTCTTTTTTTTTTTTTTTTTCTCGCCGCTATTGGTTTCCTTGCTATCTGATCCTGAGCGAGCGCTGCAGCCTCGCCGCTTCCCTGCTTTTTTCCCCCAGCTCCCAGGCTTTTGACAGGGAATGAAACACAGACACCCAGTGAGACAGGCTCCGGCTTCTACAAAGCTCCACTCCCTCCTGCTGCCTTTGTCCGTGAACAGCAACTCCTCCAACTCTGCCCGTAGACACGAGGGAACCTCTGCATCAGCACTTTCCTAATGGCTGCTTCGCCCCAGCCCTTTGGCCCTTCTTCTTCTTCTTCTTCTTCCTCGCTTCCTCTCCTCCACCTTGATGGCTTCCGCTTGCTTTTTCTAGCCCGGCCTCGGCTCCGACAACCACAGCCAGAGCGAAGCAACAACCCTTTCCCGATGGATCCATCTCAGCTCCCCCGTGCTGGCTGCTGCGGTCGGGGGGTAGTGGCCCCGCAGTCCATCACCATCCTTTTTGGGCACCTTCCACGAAAAATCGATGGCGGGTACCAGGTCCCTGAAGGCTTCACTTTCGGCTGGTTTGAGGGGCAGGGGCTGTGTGTGCGGAGAGGAGCCGAGGGAGGGCTGGGAATTGAAGCCACTTCTTTTTGTTGCAGGCGGGGATTATTTTTATTTAAAAAAAAAAAAGATTGACCGGAGTCCAAGTTTATTTCTTGGTGGTGAGCATTATTTTAAGCTGTTTGGGTATCTCCAGGTCACTCTGTTCTTATAACAGCAAGGCCTTTGTGGAGAGGGTCAAAGTGAAACCTTGCTCTGACAGCCTCTTTCCCCCCGTGGAGGGGAGCAGGAGGCAGAGGATGCTGCAGTGGGCTCACAACCCCGGCTGGCTCCCAGCCAGAGGGAGATGCAAACCAGCCACCGTCTGTAATTTTTGCTACACTTCCTCCACACTCGGTCACCCGCGAGATCCCAGGGCTGCTGCCTGTTCCTTTTTTGGGGATTCACAGGCTTTGTTAAAAAAAAAAAATCACCGTCAGGAGACCTCCAGCCTCGACAGCGATGCTCGGCCCTGCTCAGCGTGGCTGTCACGCAGCCGGCAGGTCACAGGAAAGCCACAAATCCCCCCACACCCCAGCACATGGAGAGGCTCCCTCCCCACCTGCCCTTTTGCATCACCTCCCACCCCTTCCCAGACTCCTCTTCACTCTTCCTCATCTCCCACCACAAGTTTGAGACCAGTAGCTCCTCCCTCTCCCCTTCAGCAGCATCCTGGAGCAGTGACTCTCCTCGTCCTCAGCTCCCATTCTCTCCCTGGCACGGCAAAGGAGCATCGTGCCCTCACTGCTCCCAAAAATCCCAAATTCAGAGCATTTCAGGGCAATGCTCACAGCGCTGCCTCCACTCCCCTCTCCACACCGGCTTGTCCACCTCATCCCATTCCACCAACCTCACAAACACTGAATTTTAACCAACACTTTAAAATCCTGGGATAAAAAGCACTGCAGGGCCTTGTTCTGTCCAAACCCTGACGGATATTCGCAAGGATTTGGGGTTTGCAGGTTGGAGGGAACACCAGCTCACACACTGGGCGTGGTGGTCTTGAATAAGACCACCCAGGGGCGACCTGACCCCAAAACACTGCTCCTTTCTGCCTGTCATGCAGCCCCTTGTACCCTGGCATTCTCCTCTCCGAGGGCTCCTCTCCTGCCACCCCACCATGCTCACAGAAAGCTTCCCAAATCCCTCCCTGCCCCGATCCCCAGCCAGCACTGCCAACCCAAAGCTCCCTCCACTCCCTGCAGCAAGAGATACAATTAATGCACCCAGTAGCCAAAAAATTGGCTGAAGAGTTCGGGTGGGCAACTGGCCACGGGCCAGGGGCACCCTGAGGGGAGTGGTTGCAGGGTCCCCAGTCTCAGCCCCCTCTCACTGGCTGCTCCCCCACTTGGTGCTCTACTGAGGCTTTTTTCCAGCAAGTGGGAGATTTGGGGGCTAATATGTAGGGAGAGACATGGGCACCCTGGGGGGCTGCAGCCCTTGGGGCCAGCTGGGAGGGCAGGATGGAGCTGGGCAGCCAGAACTGGTGAGGCTGGTGTTCCCACCAGCTGGCCGTGCTGGTGGCTTATCCCTCGCTCCCCAGTTTGCTACAGGAAATGCAAATAAATAGCCTGGGATTTCCATCCCAGTAAACCCCAGCTTCCCTGTACTCTTGGGTGGTAGAGACGTTCTCCATGTTTTTCCATCAGGCTTGGGCAGTGCCAGAGGGAAGTGTGGGCACAGGACCACAGCCCTGGGAACCCCTGTGTCCCTGGTGGGCTCCCAGCCCGGGAGGAACTCCAGGCAGGATCCAGCCTCCCCTAGGCCAGCTGTGGCCACTCTCTCAGGAGCTGTGGAAGTGAGGGAAGGAGGGCAAGGGGGTGAAATGAGGGGTGCACCCCGGTGGGGTCTCCGTCGAGCCCCTTTCCGACGCCCCCAGCACGGCTGCGCAGGACTATGAGCAAGTCAGCACAGAGCCATTAGGGCTAATTTAATCAAGACGGATGGCCCGATTGGAGGGCTGCCGTCCATAAATCCCCCGCTCTTGCTGCATTAGTGTCAGGCCTCCCGGAGGAAGAGGCTGAGGGGGAGGCGCGGGGGGAGCAGGGATGGGGAAACGTGCTAAGTCACCCGTCCTCCCGATGGCACGGGGCTGCTCGGACCTGGGGTACCACCACCCCATCCCACAGCGAACAGCCTGGCCCCAGGGGAGGTGCCCACCATCCTCCAGCCCCTCCAAAAACTCAGCAGCTGGAGAGGGTGGGATTTCAAGCAACCTGGGTTTTCTGAACCCCAAAAGGTGCAGGGGTTGTTCACAAATCCCCCAGGGCAGGGGCTTGCTCCAATGGGAATCTCTCGCACTCGCTCCAAGGAGTTTTGCAGCAGGGGGAAGGTGAAGTGCTGGAGGGGATAGGCTTGAAGCCCCATAGTGGATCACGGTGTAATAACTGGGACTCAAAAATACAGTCTGAGAAAACCCAAAGGCTGATGGATGCAGCATCCACCCCAGAGCCCAGCAAGACTCCCCAAACTCCAGCCACACCAGCCCAGGATGGCACTGCTGGTCATCTCTCTGGGATACCAGCTCTGCTCTCCTGGCAGCCCACTCCCTTCCCGCTGCTGCTCCTAGAAAAAACCATTTCAGGCTCAGGGTTGCCATCTGATGACCCAAAACAGCCACATCCCCGCATCCACCGGGCACGGGCGGCGGAAGCCACGCGTGCCGCCGCGCCGCACGAGCCAAGTCAGGAAATAAGCTCTCATCCATCCAGGTTAAAAATAGCCGTGAGCTTTGCCGCTAACACGCCTTGCCCTGACGCTCCAGTCGAACTGGCTCCCGTGTCGCCGCCCTGCCCATCGAGCCCACCGTGCTCCCGGCCGAAAACTGGCCACAGGGAAGGGACCGGTCGGCTCCCACCATCTGCTCCGGGCGCTGGCACTGCCGTCGGCGTGGGATGGCGGCTCTGCCAGGCCGCACTGTTGGCCAGTGCAGCGATGCAGAGGGCCAAGTCCTGGTGGGTTTTGGGAAGACAACGGGCCAGGGGATGCGGCGGACGGATGGGAGGACGGTATGGGTTTGTGGGCATCGCTCTCGCCCCCAGAGCGCTCACGGAGGTTGCGTGGTCGCCTGGCAAGGGAGAAAACAGCGGTGCTGGTCCAGTGCAGAAGGAAAGATACTGGTGCAATGGGGGTGGGAGGTTACTGGGGGATCTCAGCCTGGGAGAGCAGCCGAGGATGTCCAGGAGCAGTTGAATGATGCAGAGAGGGATTTTCAGATCTAACCTCCATGTCCAGAGAACCTCGAGGGCTGTCCTGGCAGATAGCAAGGAGCACAACCAAAATAGCTCAGGGTGGTTGACCTCAGGGAATGAGAAGCAGTGAGCTGTGGCACTGCCATGGATTTATCTGGAAAAAGGAGAATGCACATCCCTGTGCACCTCTGGCTTCTGGCTGCGCTTCAGTGAGGCCAGGAGGGAGGGAGGGAGGGCAGGGAAGGAGCTGGACTGCCGGCAGGAGGAGCACGGTTGCTGAGGTCAGTGCTCACCGTGCTTTTGTGAGATCATAAGTGAGGTCCCAGGGACCAGGAAGTGCTGATGGGGGCAAGAATCAGCCACTGACACTCAGGGATGCAGTGGACCCCTGTAGGGTGGGTGTGAGGGGCATCATGTCCAGCAGGTCTGGCTCCCTGGGCTCAGCACCTGTGTATCCACTCACCCAGGAAAGAAAAGCAAAGGCAGGGTTGGGCCTAAGGAACCATCAGGCAGGAGCAATAATCCATTCCATGAAAAGCCATGGAGCAGGTGAGCCATTTCTCCCCCAGAATGGCTAGCACAGGGAAAAACAAGACATTTGTATTTCTGCCAGTTGACAAAATGAAATGCCACTTGTAGCCAGTGAAACTCTGCAGATTTTGCTAATAAAGGATTGCTCCATCCAGCTTCCAGCTGGATTCCAGCCCCAGCCACGACACTGACACTGGCAGCATCAGCCGTCGCATCCCAACACTGGTGCCACATCAAGGGCTCTCTGCAAACCCAAGCACTGCCCCATGGCAGGGACACAGATCCCATGACCAAGTTTGCTCCCACCCTCTGCATCCCCCTGTTTGCCCTGGGGACCCTGCTGCTGGGATAGCACCGTGT